ACACTGTCCCCGGTTCCCACCAGCACGCCTTTGCTCACACTGTCCCCAGCACCTCTCCTCTCCAAATCCTCCCCTTTGAGACCCTGCTTGGGGCCAGGTCCTCCACAACCCCCCAGACCTGTCCAGCCTCGGCCCGTAGAGCCTCCAGCTCCTGGGAGGAGGGGCCGCTGAACAGAGAAGGCACCCGGACTCACGGCAGCCCTGCACTTCTTCATGATTGAGCTCTTTTCTGAGGCCCAGATGGTGATTTCATTGCGGTCAAAGTGCCTCACCAGGCCCGCTACCTGGAGGAGGAGGAGGGGGAGGAGATGAAGAGGGGGGTCAGGCCTCTCTCCAGCCCCAGGCCCCTGGCCACCCTTGCCCGTAGTCCCACCTTGTTAATGAGCTCTTCGTTTACTGATTTGACCTCCACACTCACGGGCATCCGAGGGAACCTCCGGAACACGTCCTCCAGGCTCACCATGCGCCGGTCTGTCCCGTGTGCAAAGTGGCCTGGGTGGGTTGTTCAAGAGGGATCAGAGGGGTATGGATGGGGTGGGGTGGGAACCCAGCGGGGGGAGGAGGGGAGGGAAACAGAGTCCCAGAGGAGAAGAGAGGGCAGGAGGCTGAGGCCACGACCCCACTCGGTGAGGTCATGCTCTCACCTGGTGAGAAGTAAACCTCCAGCTCCTCTTTGCAGAGGGGCAGCTCCTGGAGAGAAAGGGGGTACGTCACCAGGAGGCACGCATGGAGGCACGGTGGCTCTCGGTATGGTGGCGGGGGGGGGCAAGGCGAGGCCCACCTCAAAGTCCAGGCTGCTCACGTCCCTGTTCACGCCTGACAGGCGAAACAGGTTCTCGTCGTGTGACACCACCACCACACCATCCCGGGTCAGCCGGCAGTCAAGCTCCAGAAAGTCGGATCGCTGGGCCACGGAGCTATGGGAGTGAAGGTCAGTGCAGGGAGTGGGGGGGCCCAGGGAAAGGGGCAGGCCAGACCCCAGGGCGGTGGGGAGGTTGAAGGGGGCGTGGGGCAGAATTCACGGTAGGATGTGCAGGCTCTGCACTGCACACCTCCAGGGGGCCCCAGGCACTCAAACTAGGAAGGGAGTGGCACCCCCTGGTGTCACACAGTGCATGACTGGGACGACATCAAGCGGGCAGCTTGGGATGGCAGGTGCATGCACTCACTTCTCCATGGCCTCCATGGTGTGCTCCAGCCGCTCCCCGGACCCTGTGCAGGGCAGCTGGGTGGGTCCCAGGGGCCTGGCCTCCCCCTTCGCTCCTCACCCCCTGCCCCGTCTTCCCCCTTCCACATCCTGCCCTGCCACCCTGCTCTCCTCCTCTCTCGGGCTCTGCCCTCTAACAGCCTGCTGCCGTCCGCCCTGGTACTTTGCACCCCGACTCCACCCTCCGTAGCCGCCATCACCATCCTCCCTTTCGGGTGCCCAGCTCACCTGCCCGGTGGGCTCCCAGGCGCGGCAGGAAGGCTGGTGCCCAGGGCGTGTGCAGCAGGCGAGGCCGGCGCAGGAAGAAGACGGAGAGCATGACATAGCTGCCCAGGGCGGGCAGGGCATAGTACAGCACAGGGCTCATGGCCACACTGCCTCTCCGGGGCTCCCGCTGCGTGAGCCCTGACGTTCCTGAGGGACTGTGTGGCCTCTGCCGACAGCCTGGCTGGTGTAGGCTGGCTCTGCCACTGGTTGCCACCACACCCCTGGGACCTGCTGAGCCTGCTCCTGGCCTGGGGCCAGGCTGCAGGGCTCAGCTGGGGATGGGGGAGAGGCAGGAGGAGAGGCTTCTGGCAGCTCTGGCTCTCCCACCCCTACACCCTTCCCAGACCCCAGCACCCCTGCTCCCCTTGGCCACACTGCGGGAAACAAGCCTCCCACCACCCCCGGGTTGGCTACAACCTTTCCCTCCTCCCATGGGTGCTTGTGGCTGGGGTATACAACACGCCACCCCGAGCCATTTCCAGAGAATCCAGGGGTGTGGAGGATGCCCCTGAGTCACCCCCGAATCACCCCCAGCCAGTTCGACGGGAAGCCATTAGGGAGGGGAGAGGACAGTGACTAAGGGGAAAACTGACCCCACTCTGTCCAGGAGTCTGGCGCTCCTGACTATCCCACCTTCAGCCCAGGCTGGCTGGGGACCAGAGATCACCAGGGTTGGGTAAAGCCACACAGCTGGGAAGTGGCTGGGCAGGTGCGTCGGTCCCCAAAGCGACGGTTAGCATGGGGGCATCGGCGGACACAGACAGAGCCAGGGCCATCATATACACATCTCTATATTTATATATTAGATACAGGCACAGGGTGGGCGGGGGCACCAGGCTCTCCTCGTGCCCCCCACTCCACTTCTGTTCACCCACATACAGAGGCAGCAGGGGTGTTAGACGTGGCAGCTTTGGGGGAGGGGGCTTAGGCCTGGGCCCTGCGCCTCAGGGGTACTAGCCCTTGCGCCTTAGGAAAATTCCTTTCAGGGAAAATGGGGTAGGGTTTTAATGGGTCAGGGCTTGCCCCGAGTCCCTACTCAGGATCCCGCATCCCCCCACTGCCCTTCAGTAGGTCCCAGGGCAGCCAGAGCCCTTCCATTCCAGAACTACCAGAGACTGGGATAGCTGGGGTAGACAAAGGCAAGCAGCAGAGGGCAATTTGCTTTGGGGCCACCCAAGCCCCTCGGGCCCTGGGAGGGGAGGCAGGGCGGAGGGAGCCTTGGCCTGCTGGATCAGGAGGCCAGAGTGAAGCCGGGGAGGGTGGCCAGGCACGCCCTCTGCCCTGCCGGGGGCCACCGGGGGGGGGGGTTCTGGGCGGGGCGCAGTGTCCATTTCCTAACAGTCCGGCAGGGGAGGGGCAGGCAGGAGGCAGGGCCTAAACAAAAGGGCAGGCGGAAAGGCACTGTTAGCACCCACCAGAGGACCTGCCAGAGCCCTGACCTCCATCTCCCTCATCTCATCCTCACGGCTGCCGGGGATGGGCCTTGTCTCCCTTAACTGTACGTGGGGGGAGCCCCAGTGCCTATCTCAGGGTCCAGCTGGAGGGTGGAATAAGTTAATGCATATGAAGCCCTGAGAAGAGCGCTTAGGGCTCTGTGTTTGCTCTCGTCCTCAGGGCTCTCCCCGGGAAACTGAGGCAGAGAGAGCTGAGGGGTCTTGCACAATGTCACATGGCTCTTACTAAGTGTGAGGACTGGAGTTGGAGCGCAGGTGTGTCTGCCTTCCTTCCGTCAGGCTGCAGCTGGCCGGGAGGACGGAAAAGAGACTCGAGGAAGGAGAGCTGTGTGGGCGGGTGTGCAAACCACTGACCCGGACACCAGGTGGGAGGGGACTTGGCATCTGGGTCAGGCTGGGGACTGCTGGCTCCTCCCAAAGCAATTACTGCCCCACCTGCCTCTCTGCCCACATCGGGGAGCCAAAACCTGGCTCTGGTCCTCAGACCAGGGAGAGGGGCCCTCAGGGCCCTCTGGCCATGAGGCCCGGAGGGTACAGGGGTGCAGGGGTGCAGGGTGTTGCCAGGTGGGAGACCTTTGGGGCTGGGGGAGAGGAAGCAGATGTGAAGGACTGGTGGCCCACAGGTCTGTGGCCTGGGCAGGCTCCAGCCTTTCTGTTGCCACTATGCACCTGCCCTGTGGGCGTGAACAAGCCTGTGACTGTATGGAGGTGTGCTGGGCACACTGGTATCGGGGTGAATCTGTGTGTGGGCAGTGGGGAGCACTCACCAGGCCCCAAGGAACATTAGGTGTCTGTCCAGATTAGGGGGCCTCCAGTGCCCCAGGCTGGAAGCGGGCTGTCTCTTGGAAGATGAGCTCCTTCAGCCGTTCCTTGGGTAGATCATCCAGCTCCATGTCGAAGGTGAAAGGCTCCTCAGCCACTGGCTGGGGTGGCAAAGAAATCAGGCTCAGACCGGGTACAAGGGACGCCTACCCGTCACCTACCCGCCAGCCCCGCTGCTGGTGGCTGGCCCACCTCATCTGTTGGGTCGTAGTACTGCTCCAAGTAGGGGTGAGCCAGCGCTTCTTCCACTGTGATCCGTTTGTTGGGGTTAAAGGTCAACATCCGGTCTAGCAGGTCAAGGGCTAGGTAAGGGCAGGAGTCAGGGGTCAAAGAGAAGGCTGGAGGAGCTCCCAGAAGCATCGCTTTGCTTCTCGTGCCCAGGGTCCTGTCTATTCAGGCAGCTGCATGGCTCATGTACCCTCCTCTGCACCGAGTTTTTATCCGGTATTGGCCCCCATTGTCTTTCTCTCACCTTTGGAGTCTGACTTGGGAAAAAGCTTGGCCCAGGCCACCTTGGTCTTGGAGGGCAGAGACTGCAGGTAGTTTCGGGCCTTCATATTGATGATACAATTCAAGTCCTCCTGGGATGGGGAGCCCAGGATACCTGTGGGTAAGGCAGGTGCCTTGGTCAGAGTTCTCCTCTCCCTTCTGGGAACAGAAGGAAACCAAAACAAGAGTCCCCACCAATGAGCTCCAAGCCCTGACAGTTATCTACCAGCCAATACTATGGTGATGAAGGGCAAGGGTTCTGGGTGTGGGCAGCCACAGGTTCAAATCCTGATGTGAGCACTTCCCAAGTGTGGGGTGTAGCCTTGGCTTCTCCCATCTCTCGAGTGGGGACTGTGTCTATTATCTCATTGAAATACCGTGAGATGCTGCAGGGACTCCACATATGGTGGTACCCTGGCTATAAAGAAACCTCACCTCCCACTAGTCTCCCTCCCACTTAGCTGGCCAGGCCCCCTCACCCAGAATGTGGTTAAGCTGGTCCAGGTAGTGCTTGCCAGGGAAGATGGGCCGGTTGGAGAGCATCTCAGCCAGAATGCAGCCCACAGACCAGATGTCGATGGACTTGGTGTAGCCCTGGGGAGGAGGAGAAAGCAGTGGGCTCCTGGGCCAGCCTCAACAGGGCCCTCCTGTCTGGGCCAAACCACGACTCCAATCTAGACTCAATACCAGCAGGGAGGAAGAGGGCAGAGGCCTGGAGGACCTAATGCTCAGCTTCCTCCCAAGGCCTAAAAACCGGAGTCATGTGACAAGGCCTGGAGGCAGATGTCCTGGATCATGGGGGTCATGCCTGGCTCAGGGGTGGCTCCAGGGCTTTCTGGGACTTGGCCCCTTCCCTTCAGGGATGGGTGGCCCCCCTACCTTAGAGTTAAGCATGATTTCTGGAGCCCGGTACCAGCGTGTGGCCACATATTCTGTCAGGAAGCCAGTGTGGTCATGCTCGGGATCGGCAATCCGGGCCAGGCCAAAATCGCAGATCTGGAAGCCAACCCAGGCTGCTAAGCTCGCTGCTCAAGGCCCAAGGCCCGAGCAGTCATATCACCCACGCTGTTCCCTTTGCTTGTGAGGTTCTACTCAAGGGGGCTACTGGTCACCTAGAAGCCCCAGACCCGTGGGAGGAGGGGATAGGCACCCAATCCTCTGACCTTAAGGTCGCAGGTGGTGTTGATGAGCAGGTTAGAGGGCTTTAAATCCCGGTGGAGCACGTTGGCTGAGTGGATATACTTGAGGCCTCGAAGGATCTGGTAGAGGAAGTAGCAAACATGGTCGTTGCTCAGCTGCTGGCTTTTCAGCAACTTGTAGAGGTCTGTCTCCATCAGGTCCTGCACGATGTAGCTGAGGATGGTACCGGAGACCCCCCGGGCGGGGGCGGCAGGGGGCACTTGGTTAAGAAGAACAGGCTCTGGTGGCTAGGCTTCACGTCCCCTTCCAGCTAGTGCCCTTAAGACTCAGAACATCTGCCAACCCATCTCATAGGCTGCACAAGGCCCAGACTCAGCAGGTGGGCTCAGGGCCTCTGCTGCATCTCAGCGGGCGGCCCTGAACAGAAGTACTTCAATTCTGTGGCCTCAGTTTCCCTACTGGGAAAGCAGGGATAATAAACTGCAGGAGGCAAGAGAGCTTCACAGTGAAGAGCAGCAACTCTGGGGTTTAGTCTGCTGGTGTCTGAATCCT